TTGAGTCATTTTTTTTAAGTGGACAGGAAATTTGAAAATATGACTAGGCAATAATGTGTTGCTGGAAGATATTATTAGCACTAAAACACCAACTGTGGAGTCTTAAGAAGGTAAACAAAAAAACTTTGTTTATCCCTTATTCTTGACTTGTCACTTTATTTGCTGAAGTTCTGAGCTTAAAGACCAGTAAAGATCAGCAGTAGTTAGAACAATTCTTAGCCTGGTGGGGGTACAAGTCAAGCCTGGTGGCCCACCAGGCCTTTTGAAACTCTGGGGGAAACCCTGATGACATCCTCAAACACAGCCCCACAGTACAATGTTCCCACCACCGACCTTCACTGCCGGTGCAGTGTTTAGGGTGAAGTGCAGCGCGATTTCTTCTCCAGACATGGTTTTTGTGCAATTTCATTCAAAAAGTTTAGTATTGGTCTCATCTGGCCAGATCCATTTAACCCAGTATTTTCTTGGCTTGCCCAAATGTTCTGAAGAAAACTGATTTTTTTTCTTTTTCTTCAGTAGTGGAGCATTGTGAAGTAAATGTGCAAAGAACCCAAAACCGATGAGTGGCTTAGTATTATTTGAATGGAAAAATGTCCACCTACAAAAATGTTTTTCTGAAACTCTGAGTTTGTGGTATTTGACTCTTGGACATCTCTTCAGGTTATTCCTTTGACTCTATTGGAAACCTGGTGAGGAGCATCTGAACACAGCTGGTTTCTGGGAAAATGATGCTCTCTCCACTCAGTGGAACATCCAGCAACACATCTTTATCTGGTGCAATCAGCATGGTTTGAAAACACAAAAAGGTTGAGAGCTCTTTGTGTTTCAGCCATCATAAGATGCGTCTTGTGTGACGTCCCACTAATGAAAAACCTTTTCATATGTATAAAACTTAGATATGTTGATATTTTTAGTCCAATTGATATTCAAATTCCCCTTATTTTACCACCAATCTGGTCGCTTACTTAAAATCATATTATTTATACGTCTTACAGTCTTAAAAAGTTGTTTCTTCCTTTTGTTTTCTTATATCTTTTGTTCCCCCACTAGAAAATGCTAACAGATTATAGAAGATCTGGATAAAAAACAGCTCACTCCAGTATGCCGTACTCTTTCCAGAGGCTGGACTGTGCATGAAGTAGCCAAACAACTTGGACATATTAAATTTGTACGTTCCAGTGAGTCCAGGCCAGGATTTACTTCCAAGCTCATTAGTGTCCACAGAAGCTTAAGTGGCTTCCCTACACCACAGAGATTAGCAGATATCTATCACTTGTTCAGTCTCCCTTCCTCCACCACCAGCAGGTGCTCAGAAACATTTATCTGCACAATCTGGACCTGACACCTCCGGGTCTGCTTGTTCTCTGCAGTACCCCGTGTGTTCCGACATCGTAATCTCACATAAATTGTATTTGCCAACAAATCAATATGTTATTCACAAACTTGTAGAAAGGCAACACTTTAAGGAAGTTGAGTAGTTTCAATGAATTTTCTAAAGCACTTTATTGTATTATACTAGAATGTCATTCTTACTGAAATCTTTTGTAATAAGTTATTAGCAAAGCTCTTACACTAGCTATTTATAGGCTCAAAGCAATTTATTCCTGGTTTGTGACAAAATATGATCTGTTTGACCNCAAGAAAGTGTTTTTCCTGTTAATATTCTGTTCTTCAAGTACATTTGTTTTTCCAAACACATTTAATTTAAAATGTATTTAGCTAATGTTTAGCTTATATTATTATTTTACTATTTTGTGACAAAGTTTTTTTTGTTTTTTTGTTGTTTTTTCTCACAAAATATCACATTATTTCCAGCAGGCAGAGGTATTTCTTCAACCAAGAAAAACTATTTGATTTGACGTCACTCTTTTTTTTTTTTTTTGCTGTATTATGATATGTTCCATATCACCTTTTTAACTCATCCTCCTTTCCTTCACCTCAGCTCTGAGAGCCACCCTGACCTCCCCAAGCTCTCCATGTTGTAATCCCTTTGGCGTCTTGAGGACAATCCCCCTTGCTCCTCTAATCTCCTGGCACGATACCTGGACAGATTAAGTCTAGAAGATTCAATCTTCATTCTTTCATCTATCCTTCTTTTTCACTTCTATCTTTCATGAGTTGTGACTCTTTGGGTGTTTAGAGGTAAATATAAGGAGGTATGATAACTGTAGTCTGGACTGTGTCTGTGACATTACAATCTGCCTCAAATCTGAATGAGACGTGTCCTGAGTCCTGGCCTAAGCTGCTCCAGAGTCTCAGGGGAGTGATGGAAAAGTTTCATAGTGACTAAGGGCTAAAAGACATCCTAACACAATCTTTCCTGTTATATCAGCTCAGTAATTACAGACACAACCAAGAATCCTTATGATGTGGTGTAATCAGTTGGAACACAGCTTCAATAACATGTCTTTCTCATTTCCTAATAAAAGTCAATAAAATCAGATTTTAGAACCTATTTGATAGCTGCTGGTTATTTTGCCCTCCAATCGGTGGGTTGCTGATTCGATTCTCGCTCCATCCGCCTCTGTTATTGTGTCCTTGGGCAAGAACCTTCACACACCTTGCCTGCTGGTGGGGGTCAGAGGCCTGCATGGGAACCTCGCTTCTATCCAGCAGCTTGCCACCAACAGCATGTGTGTGTGTGTGTGTGTGTGTGTGTGTGTGTGTGTGTGTGTGTGTGTGTGTGTGAATAGTTGAATGACTGAGTGTATTGTGAATTGGGGTCCTCTTCATAAAGTGCTATACAAGTACAAGCCATCTATATATAAATGTATAAATCTATATTCATTAATCTTTTTCAGTTAGAAAAAACAGCAGCTGCTTTTATTTTATTAAACTTATTTGAACTTGCATACATTGTAGAACACATACAAGCACCACAAACAGTTTGAAATAATAATCTGGTAAGAAATAATAAAAATTAACTCTAACAGTAACAGCCTGTAAATGTTCGGTGGACTTCAAGTTCAAGTCTTTAAAGTCACGTTATATAATCATTTTTTACTCACACACATATATATATATATATATATATATATATAAATACACACACACACAGAAGTACAGCATAAATGCTTAGTTATCAATTTTATGTCAAAGTTGCATATAGAAGAACCTCGTTAACATTAAAGGTTTTTTGCAGGTCAGTTTTCTGCTGTAAAGACCTTGACATGGTTCTGAGTTCACTCTAAGCATTCATGCAGAACCTTTAAACAACAGATCCTATTTTGGATAGGGGACACATTAGACAACCATTATGTGATAAACCAGAACTTTGTGGAAAATTAAATAACATAACGGGACATTAAGTGACCTCATTCTGCAGCTTCGTTCAAGCATGGAAAGATATGAACCAACTTTCTCTACTCCTCCATTGTTTGCTCTGATTTGAGTCTGCATGACTGAGTGGTCTCATTCTGAGTCAGTCATGTGTCAAATCAGACACAGATTAACTCAACTCCCACCAGTTCAGAACGCTCTCTTTACGTTATTAGTCTAAGAAACTTTACAGCTTTGGTGATTGAAATGATTTGTCCTCTTCATGCCTGTGGTCTTTTCACTATTGTTCAGTTTGACTGGATACGATTAAAGTTAAAAAATAATCATTAAGGGTGACAAAACACAACATCTCCTCATTGCTTCATCTTCTTTATACATAGTTGAGGCTCAGAAGAGGTCTTACATCACAGAACTTTGTGAAAGCCACTTGTTTGGGAAGCACCATCATTAAGAGGCACAATAACATTCCTTCCCATACAACACTTCTCTTACAGACTTTCACTTCTACAAATGTTACATGTAGAACAAGTAAGTCTGCATCATTTCATTTAGTTGTTTTGTGCTGATTTTCTTTATGTGGGACTTTCACATTAAACAGAAGGATTAAAAGTTTCTACTCACCCCACTTGAACATCATCATTGTCAGCAGAAGTGTCTTTAAATTCAAATGAACTTTTCCCAGCTCCATGCTAAAGCTGGAGATGTAGGTCCAGTCAAGGAAAAACAAAACAAAACAAAACAAAACAAAACAAAAAAAACAATCAGAATAAAAAAGCTAAAAGGCAAGTGTTAAAGTCCCGACATGTTGCTCCAGTCTAGAGGCTGGCTTTCTCCACAGCCACTCTCCATGCTTGGCCATAGACAGCCTTCCCTGGCCATAAGGAGAGTGAACTGCCATCAGAGAGAGTCGTCAGGAAAACATGAGGTGGACTAACACCTGCTCCTGTGCAAGAGCTGCTATTAACTCTCTCATTGGACTTTTGGAATTAAAGGAACTGTCTTTTTCTAAAATATATATATATATATATATATATATATATATATATATATATATATATATATATATATATATATATATATATATATATATATATATATATATATTGTTTTTGTGTTTTTTTTTTTTTATGTGGGAA